TCATTTCAGATAAATAATTAAATTAAATTAAATAATGACCGAATTATGAACGAAAAACAAAGTAAGATTTAATTTCTTAAAAATAAAAAAATTGTGATATTCGATAATATATTTAGCTAATTAACAAATAATATGAAAAGAATATTTTTAAAAAAAAAATTATTATACTCTCTAATAAAACGAAGTGCTAAATGATTTAAAAAAATGAATAAAATACGCAAACCTTTCAAATTTTTTTGTATAAACAAAGTTGATTGACTTATGTCCAAATCCAAATGACAAAAATAAATTTTGTTTTAACTTTATTTCTGAAAATAAAAACAACAAAATTTATAAATTTAGAATCAGTAATAAAAACTCATTAAATTATTAAAAGTTTCATCCAAAAAGTTTCTAATAAATTAAAAGAAAGTAAAAAAATAACCTAACAAATTCAATTCTTTGGGCACCTAAATTAGATTGCCGATAATTTTCACATTTAAAAATAAAAAGAAGATTTTTTAAACAAAAAACTTATCTAATTAATGAAGAAACTCTTATTTATATATTCATTTCAATAATAGATTGCCTTCAGTACAAGGTAGCATCGGCGATCACGAAGTTAGTCCCACTGAAAATAATCTACAAGAAAAGTCGCGACAAAGAAAAAAAAAGCTAAGAGGTGCGAAAAGGAACATGCGATATAACGATATATGTTCTCAAAACTCTGATTCTACAGCTCACCAATCAAGGTCATTTCAGCATAACGAAACGAACATCGTCTTCTACAGCGCGAGACGACATCGGAACGTAAGAGAAGAGTCTTATATCGCTATATCGTTACCTTATATCCTTGCGTGTCTTATATCGCTATATCGTTTTGCGCTCGTTGTCTTTACTCGACGGCTTAAATCAGATTTCTGATGCATCGCCTTGAATGAAAGTCGCTGTATCGTCTTGCCGATATATGCGTTAAATCTAAATGTCTCGATACATCGATTTAAAGCCCAGTCCTAGTTGTGGCTTATCAAGAGGAAATATTTTGGTGTCAGTGTTGGGACTCGAATTCCCGTTCTGTCGGTTATGATATCGACAGATTAGCCTTTTCGGCTATAAAGTGTACCCAATTGCATGGAACTAAGTAACTTCATTAGGTGGGCCTAGTTGGTGCGATTGCCGAGTTGGCCTTCATTGGTGCGATAAAATTCTAGTTGTTTAACCGTGTTAAGTGGAAACAGTTAACGGTTTTTCTCACAGTTAGCAGTTTAAATACCATTTTATTTAAGGTTATTTGACTATTTTGTTTGAATATAGTAAAATAACAATCAAGAAAGTTGTTATTTAACCATTTTTTTCTCTAACAGTGTGGCTTCTATCTAAAAGTTTAAATTTTCAGGTCTGGAACATGCCATGTTATTTTTCTATTCAATTAAAATACAAGATAAAATGACAATTATTTTTAGTCATATCTTGTGATGTTTTTTTTTATTTTTTAGGGTGAAGGGAATCAAAAACTTGAGAGTGGTTGACTCATCCGTTATGCCCACAATAACTACAGGCAATACAAACATTCCAACACAAATGATTGCCGAAAAAGCATCTTACATGATATCCACCAGCATCAACTGTAACAAATACAATAAGACTTTTGAAGAATATGTTCTGTAAACAGTTTGCTTTAAGAATATTTCACTATTAAATGGAATTACAATATCCATTTGTATTATTTTTAATATTTTAAACGGTATTAAATGCCCAATTTCCAATAAATTAAAAATTTATCAAATTACTGATTTCGTGATGGTATTTTGATTCAAGCACTTTCAGTTGAAGTGATAGGCGAGAATGGTTTCATTTCAGGCAAAGGGAGAAAAGGACTTGTTTTCCCGTTAGAGTAGTAATTTTTTGGCGATATAAATGAGTTTAACTTTAAAACCAATTTCAAAATATATTTTAAACAATGACATCGAATATATACAACATATTATTTAATATCAAAAAGTTCCTTCATTCGGGGTAGGTTTTTTTTAATATGATAGATTAGCTGTATACCCGTTTTTCGTACGGGGTGAAAAAAGTAAACAATCAATATATTAATACTGAACAATAGTATGAAATCATGCACAAAGCTGAGAAACACACACCAATACAATGTGTAAAGCTTAAATAAATAAATTGATTTAATTTACTATTTTTTGCTTCTTGCGGTGGCTTTACGTTATTAGATTAAGTATAAAACTTTTTTAGTAGTTTATCCCACCAGAATAAAAATAAACTGTTTCAATATAATTTGGCAAGATGCTGTTGTTTTTACACCAAGTTTCTACCTGTCAGAATTTACCTCGATCTAGTGATTTTTCCCTCCGCACTTAATTTTTTTAGAACGGAACCTCTAATAAAAACCTTTTTTCCACAGTATTTATGTTCAAGCTTCAACTTCCAAGTATTGATCCAAGTTTTAACAGGTGCAAACCAAAATACGTACGAAGTTTTAATAGGCCAAATATACTACATAATTCATGGTAACTATGTTAGTATATTTGGTACTACCTATTAAAACTGGGTCAGTCACATTAATAATAGTGCCTACAACCGAAATTAATTAAGCATCATTGGCGTCAATAATGTCGATTTTTTTTATGTTTCTTCAAAACGAATTAGCACCATCCATTAATTTTGCTTTATAGTACATAGAGTGCTGAGCTTTTTTTAAATTTTTTATTTCAGTTAATACTTTTAACTAAAAATTAGGCATAATTGGGGATTGATAATAGTTCAGTAGTTTTTTTCGATTCTTTTAAACATAATAATAGCATTTCTTTAATAATTTTACATTTAACAAAACTTATTTTTTATTTTAATTAGTACTTTACCAAAATTAATTACGTATCATTGGCTTCAATAATGATATGGTGATTTTTGTGTATGGTGATTTTTGTATGAAGTCAATTTAGTATGAACAATTACTAAATTGACTTTTTCACAACTCTTAAATCTTTTAAAGATTTTATATCTATTATTATTAAAAGAATTTTTTTGCAAGCATTTTTTATTGAAATAAATCTTATTTTTATTATTAATGGAAACTCTTGGTTCATATTTTCTTTAATAAACATGTTAAAATTACAATTTTGAATTTGGCACCGCTTAAAATCTATTGTTAATAATGAAAAATCAGCAAATAGAGTGTTTTGCTATACCTCTTCAATTTAAAAGTAATATTTTAAACTTTACGAGATGGGGCAAAAGGACGTTTTCGTATTTTTTACTCAATAAGGTTTCTCAAATGGGTCGCGTTCATATTTATACAAATAATCAGTTCACTAACAGATAATATTACACATTTCGCTGACATCACACAAAGCTCCCATTACTGACTCTATAATTTCCATTTCGGTAATATAGATTCCAATTATGTGTTTAGCAGTAATTAACAAATGTATTATGATTCCAGTAAATAATGACGATATTAATTCTCCATTATTTCGCATTCAGATTAAAACTATTTTGTTCGAGGTTTGAATCTGACTAACTTTGAATTTAGTTACCTTATTAACAATTATAACTTATTCTTTTATAGCAATATTCTTTATACCATGCAATATATATTTTATTTTGAAAAAAATACCATGCAATATATATTTTCTACGTAGGACTGCAATCAGATAACTGAAAATAGTGCTACAAACGATTCTTCCTCAAATCAAAACATTCATGGAAGCAATTCTTTTTAATAAAATAATATTATTAATTATTGCACTTTCTACATTAGATTTAAAAAAAGTTGTTTTATAAATCAAATAAAAAATTTATGTTTACATGTATTTCATTTTAAACTTTGAATATCTCTACAGTTCATGAGATCTCAGCAATGATCAAACTTTTAAGTAAGTTTGCTTTCTACTTAAGTTTATTACAGCTAACAATTATTATTTCTAAACAATAGTGCATATCAAGTTTTTTTTTAACAAAAAAGTCTTCTTTCATTAAAAATTTTCAGCGTAAAAGACTTCAATAAATAAAGACAGTTTCTTTGAAACTATGAATTGAGTAGTTGTAGTAGTAGTTGTAGTTGTTAATTTACGTCGCACTAGAGCTGCACAATGGGCTATTGGCGACGGTCTGGGAAACATCCCGGAGGATGATCCGAAGACATGCCATCACAATTTTGATCCTCTGCGGAGGGAATGGCACCCCCGCTTCGGTAGCCCGGCGACCTACGCGCGAAGTCGAGCACTTTACGGTAGCACAGTTTAGCGAGGACCAATACCGCACACCCTCGGTCCCTACGCAGACTGATCCAAGTGGTCACCCACCCGCACACTGACCGTAGCCAGTGATGCTTGACTTCGGTGATCTGCTGGGAACCGTGTCTTAACGATCAGTCCACTACGGGACAAACTATGAATTGAAATGAAAGGAAAATGAGGGTAAAATCAGCTGACAGCATTGTAATCTTTCTGTGAAGTGGCATTACCGATATGATCAGTCGGAAAATCGATTATCGGCGATTTGCTCCAAACCTGTCTAAATAAAAAAGGAATTGACTTTGCGTGGTGTATAAAAAAAGTTAAAGCATCGTAAAACTCTCACTCCATTTTCTACGTCCTTTAAGTTTTTAATATTGGTCCTGGAATGGCTTTTAACACTAGACAATAACAATACTATATAGGGCCGATATTGGTTGAATAATGGATATAAAATATTAGGTTAATTTAACAATTCTATAAAAGGCCGATATTGGTTGTAAAAGTGGCAGTAAAAAAATCGGGTGAAATGAACAATTCTATATAGAGTCGATATTGGTAGAATAATGGATATAAAATGTTATGTTAATCTAACAATTCTATATAGGGCAGATATTGGTGGAAAAGTGACTGTAAAATATTGGGTGAAATAAATGGACAATTCTATACAGGGCAGATATCGGGTGAAATGGACAATTCTATATAGGGCCGATATTGGTTGAATAATGGATATAAAATATTAGGTTAATTTAACAATTCTATAAAAGGCCGATATTGGTTGTAAAAGTGGCAGTAAAAAA